AATAACAGATGTCTACATTGTGAACATCCACGGGCAGGACATAAAAACTGTGTAGAGTTTCAAATACCTAGCTATTCACATCAATAACAAACTGGACAGGACTCATAACACTGATGCCCTGTACAAGAAGGGCCAGAGCCTCCTCCACCTCCTGAGGAGGCTGAGGTCCTTTGGAGTGAGCAGGGCACTGCTTAAAACCTTCTATGACTCAGGCGTGCTTTGGTGGAGCAGTGGTTAGCGCGCACGACCCATGTATGCAGGCCATACCCCCTAAAAAAAACAAGCCACTACAGCCCTAAAAACTAAAAAAAAAAAAAAAAGAAAAGAAAAACTTCCATGACTTTCTCTCATCAGCCCTCCTCTATGCTGTTGTTTGCTGGGCCCCTAGCAGCAGGACAAATACAGACTGAACAAATTATGAAATAGGCTGCTTCTGTCCTAGGCTGCACTCAGTGGAGGAAGTGGCTAAGAGGAAGGTGTTACATCCATAATGGACAGCACCTTCCACCCACTGCACCAGTCTGTAGAGGAGCTGAGCAGCTCCTTTAGTGAAAGACGCTATAGATCATTCATCCCTCCTGCAACCAGGCAATATAATGCAACAATTCAAGATCAATAATTTGTGCAATGTATAATGCACAATTTACTATTTGATACCAGTGCAATAACTATATATATATTTTTATATAAATATCCATCTATATAAATACCCATGTAAATACCCTTTGCATTAACCCTATATAATGATCCTACTATAAAAAAACAAACAATACACTGTCATATGTGGGCGCACTGCATATATCCCATGCACCTCTTTCTACCTCTGGCGCCTTCTTCTTCCTTGACTATTTCAGTTGATGTAACGAGTAAATTTCTCCACTGTGAGATCAATAAAGTAAGTCAATCAATCAGCTGCAACAAAACTGTAAAACATAAATCTACGTTGGTCACGGAGCAAGGAAAGAAATACTTGTTTCCTAATGGAAAACAGTTTAAGCCCGATGATGCAAATAGCTTTTAGATTTACAACGTTTATACAATCATAAGAAAGGCATGAACTTTAACCCAGTAAGGTGGACTTTCTACAGTAAGTTAGGTTTGGCACTTAAAAGCAGTTGAAAAAGGAAGTTGAGATCTTAGTGGCCCTTTTAAATCCCAGACAGGCAGCGCTATCAATCATAGTTTTCTTTCATGATAACCTGCAATACTGGAATGGCCTGCTGACGTAATATGAAATAAATTGCTGATGTTTATCAGCACAAATGTGCAGGCCTGCGATTACATCAAGTCTGCTCTAATGTGTTTGTCTGCTCAAGACTCTTTGCATATGTTGGAACAAAGATCAAGATGACCTGTTCTCAGTCCCTGTTTCTGAGCCTTTGTTGATTCAGTATGTTTTAGTATTTCAAGTGAAAAGTATGAGCTCTTCTTTGTGAGGGAAAAAAAAAATAAAAACAATTTCACATTTCTGGTAAAAGAGTAAAATACTGCACTGGTGATGATTAATGGTTGTTCTTATTAACAATTCTTAGTATTGAAAACTGTAAAGAAAAAGTTTTATTTAATTTGGAAACCACAGAAGTAACTTCCTGCATGATTTACTTTAGATATTATTTAAAGTCATTATTATTATTGTTATTATTATTATTTTAAAATTATTTTAAAATTAGCATTAGCACTACAATTAGTTATGTCAATGACTGTGTTTTTGTTCAATTATCCTGAGTGGCTTTTAGGCTCCATATTGACTAGCATACTGCCATCTAGTGGTGTTTGTGGGGATTTTACTTCAAATACATGAAACACTTGAATCTCACCAAACAAATTGGATTCATAATGTATGGCTTACATTACAACCTGTTTATATCATGTCTGAGACCGAGAAAAAAGCCCTGGCAGTAAATCTATTCTGTGCTATATCCCAGTCCTCTGAGTGACATTGCCAATAAGATGGAAAATTGGTGATATGATGTTTGAGTGAGTGCTGTATAAGTATTGTTTTAACCAAAAGGGCAGCAGGTGCAGCCACAGACCGGGGCGTGAAAAGCAGGAATCCGACCTATTGGTTTAAGGCGGATAAAAACACATCCCCGCTGACCTCTCTGCTTCATTACCCTCCATGATTCCTCATAAACACAGGAAAATACAAGGCTGCAGGGATCCTGCACTTTATTTTCCTTTTTGAAGTTCAGTCAGTTTTGCTTCATTGTTGATATTTTTCCATGTACTTAGATGCATGATGGAAAATTTAAAGTAAATGCATGTCTTTATGTGTTGATTAATTAAGATATTAAAGATCACAACAGAAATTGGCTTTATCATCCTTATAAATATTTTCACTGCAGACTGACACAGTCAGATAAGAGTTTAATAATTTTGTGTGTAATCACCAAAACAAAGTGAAGCACTTCTTTAACTTCTAAACATTCAAATGTTAAAACTGCTGTTTGAATCAAAGTTTTTTTACTGACCTCTAGTGGTTGTCTCAGACTCAAATTCACCAAAAAAAGACTGAAATATTTTGAATGCTACTTTAGCTGAATAAGTTTTAGATTTAATTTTCTTTATTTATGACTAATGTGGACAGAAAGAACATTTCAAATCTTAAAATATAACTAGCACAATTCTGAACAGCTATTTCTTTTACAGTCTAATATCTAGCCAAACAGTCATCTTTTGGAAGATTATATGATTATGTTTAATTTGATGAAATTCAGGGAAAATCAGTTAAAAGGTAAATAATCTCTAATAATATCTCTTTGTGTCTCTTTTTTTTTTCTCAGCCTGGGGAATAAATGAAGGATATGGACAGACATCTTAAACTGAGTTGCAGCAAAGTGTCGTTTTGGAGAGCAAAACCTTACATCCTCACCATTGGCAGGAATGTGGTGTTCCTTTTGAGGCTTTTAATAGTGTGTTTGTGGTGTCCATGTCCACTCTTTTATCCCTTCGGTCTATCAAGAAAACTCACATTTAGCAAAAAGACTTTGAGCAATTGTACCCCAACATCATATGTTTTGCAGCTGTCAACAAACTTTACCACATTTTTAGACAGAAATGATGGAGTTCAGATATTATGCATTGAAAAGGAAATAGAAACCTTCATGTAAGCTGTTCCAATGTTTCAGTCTTTGGGCTTAATATCCAGTTTTCCAGTAAAGAACCACTAATCCCAAGAACCACTGATCAACTATTGGAAGAAGTTGGATTCTCATATACTCCACAGTAAAGCAACTCTTACATGAACCTTAGGCTACAAGTAAAGTAAAGTAAAACTGAAACTTGGATTTTCCTACATGGACAAATCAAATGCCCATCTAAGAATAATATTCAGATGATACAAGTGTTAAACATGGTGGTGATAGTATTATAAAAATGATGGTATTGGTGTATTCCACAAAGTTAGAGGAATTAGAAAAGTAACTAACTAACTTCTAATTCTTCAACTTCAATATCAACACGTCTAATCTGTATATAGCTACCATATTTATTTATTGTATAGCCTCTTACAAATACTCTCTGTATATATATACCGCCTATAGTCCATGCATATATATTTCCTGTACACATGTAAACAAAGGTTTATATCCTGTATAGCACTTCTGGATAAATGCAAACAACTTTTTGTTGCTTTTGTTTACATTCTATTCTATTCTATTCTATTCTATTCTATTCTATTCTATTCTATTCTATTCTATTCTATTCTATTCTATTCTATTCAAGAGGATATTGGTAGCATTTCCTTAAGAGAAATATTCTTGGAGAAACAAAAACCAAACATAAACTTTGGCAAGGTGAAGCTAGTCACCATAAAACATCTAAACAGCAATGGTTTAGTTGCTCTGTAAAATCTAACGGTCATATCTAAATAAATGTGTCTGGGAAAGAAAATCAGAACACTTAAAAGACCTGCACCAATGCAGAGGGGTATTTATTCCAATAAAACCCTTGTAGGTGCATTTTGTTTAAATATTTCACCTTCTCAGAAAAACAAAAAAACATTTAAATGTTTCATTAAAAATACAAACCTGATCAGATTAAAATGGCATCCATAAACTTCTATTTAGAACTGTATATCAATGCAGACTCAGCAAACAGCGCTAAACCTCACAGCGTTCGATCACATTTCATATTACGCAGCATATAACATAAACATCAACAAAAAAGGCAGATCATGCCTCCAATTCACAGCAGAGGATAAATCAGCATCAGCATTAACATGTCCTGTGGAGAATATAATTCTTTATATGATCTATATGCAGCTACAACCCTTCATCTATGTGCATGTTGGTCTTAGGAGTGGCATCCGTTTTGGTAATGAGAGCATGGCGGCTTCTCCAGCTGGGATTACTGCACTGAGCTCCCCCACTGTGCGGTGTAATGAAGCAGGGCTGTGGAGACTGGAGGCGCAGTCTGCAGGTTGCTCTTCTTTCACCAGAGTTTGAGCAGCAGGTAACAGCTCTGAACGTGACTGCATTGCTGGAGATCGAAGCTGTCTGAGACAAAGAAGGGAAAGCTAAAGCTCTTGCTCTGTTAATGCAGACCACAAAACAACAGCACAGAAGGTATGGACTCTCACCGCATCCTAGGGCATAAGCAGACATGGCATCCATAAAGGCTGCAGATAAATATGTTCCAAAGCAATCAGCTTTTTTCCTTTCTGTCTGACATTAAATCACAGTAAACCTTTCCTGTTTTTGGACAGTTATTATTAAAACCCATTTCTTTTATCTAATGCCTACATACTGAAAACATTTTAATGATGTTATGGCTCTTTGTGCTTCTGATGGGTTCATTCACAACATTTATGTTAAATAGACAGAAAATCAATAAGAGATATCAGGAAGATTTTGCATATCTCCACAAATCCTTTTAATCTGGAAGTTCTATTTTCCAGGTACCTTAAGGTGCCACATTCATCTGTTCAAACAATTATCTGCTGGATTAAGCAGCATGGAAATATCCAGTGCAGTTCAGGGAGGAGACTGCTCCTGTGGTTCAGTGGTAAATGTGTTCTGTTGTGAAACGCATATATCAACCCAGAATCAAAGCAAAACATCTTGTGCAGCTACTGCTGAGGCTGGTGTCAGCATGTGCAGAGAAATGACCTCTGTTTCACCAGGGGCTGAAGTGCCACTCGCAAAGGAAGAAGCCATTATACCAACTCAAAGAAAAAGGCTGGATTATTGTCTGCAAATGAATTCAAGGAATAAGACCTTGATATTTGAGGACATGACAGATTGTTTTCACCCTACTTAAAGAATAGCTAAAAGGATTGGGGACATAGGAGAAAGATTGGATCATCAACTTTTTGGGGTGTATTTTTTTTTTTATCTATGGAAGAAAAATAAACATTGGATCCCATTCATTCCTAAAATGAATGGGATCCTAGGAAAAGAATTATAAATAAACATAAATACAAAGATTCAGTATATCACTTAGGAAAGTTACAAGGCCTATATCATGAAAAACCTACTTTTTGAGATTTTAATGCTTATTTTATAGTAATCTTTTAATGCTCTTCCTTTATTAAAAAATATTCCCAAAGTGGTATTTTGCATGATTACTGCATCTCTAAGTAATCATGAGTTCTGTTTTCTGAGCAGCAGTCCCTCCCTGTCCTGGAGGTTGGAGAATATCGACATAAGAGGGCTCCCTCCAGGAAGCTTCTGCCTTAACCATGCTTTGCCCAGAATGTAAACAAATGCCAACTTTCTTCAAAGTTGGTTGAACCCTTATTCAGCCTTCAGGAGGGTTGCAATACTGCGACATCATGAAACAAGTGGCACAAAGATGGGGAGAGGCTTTTCTTGAAAGTTGAAATAAAACGGGCGTGCAGGTGGTGCAGTGGTTATTGCACACGACCCATGTATGGAGGTCTTAGTACTCGATGTGGCCGACCCGGGCTTGAACCCAGCCTGTGGTCCTTTGCTGCATGTCTCTCCCCCTCTCTCAAACCCCCTTTCCTGAGACTTCTCTCAGAAAAAAAGAGACACTACAGCCGTAAAAGCTAAAAAAAAAAGAAAGTTAAAAGACAAACAACTTTATTTCATAAAAATAATAATTATAATTTATTGCTAAAGTCATTATTTCAACATATATTTCATTATATGTGGCTTTATAAGGCTGTAATTTTTGTCATCCAAATAGACAAAGACCTTTAGCTTTCTTAACCTGACCCTGTAATAGAAAACTACTGTGAGATAAAAGTTTTGGAAAGAAACCTAAACCGCTTAATCTAAATCCAACAGTTAAAAGTTGTTTGTACCTGACAGGTACACCCGAGATGCACTAATGCTCACAATACTGCACACCAGAAGAGTGTGTGAGGTTGCTTTATGACACATTTATTATAATAAAGATGAAATTTTGCACAAAAGCAGAGCTAATGCTTGTGTTTAGACGCAGGCCAAGACGTTTCTATAATGCCATGGGTTTCAGTTTATCTTCAAATGATAACTCGGAAAATTGTTGAAGTTAACAATGGAGAAATCTTTGACGGAAACTCATCCCTCCTGCTTACTTAATCTACCTGAGGAGACAAACAGTGATTCACCAAAGAGTTTCTTTCCATTTTTTGTTGATGCGGTTTGAGCTGCTTATGGTGCATGAAGTATTTCTATTTGGTCCTTTGAAACAGTTTTAAAAAAAATGGTCCGTTTCCCATCTGTATGCGCTAGTTCTACAACTACTCACAGACTTAAATGAAATACAACAAATATGACAGCTTTTGTGCGTCTGGAATACATCTTTACCTGAGTATTTGAACAGAAAGGCTGCTGTTATAGCTTCTAAGGCTAAAACAAGATTCCAGTGGCTCCTCTACCCTCCAGGTCTCTGTGGATGTTCAGATCCTGCAAGATCAGGCATAGAGAGCAGATCTTAGAGAGATCAATACTCCTTAGTGGATTTCCTATATCAACCATACAGAAATCCTACCATCTGTGACATATAGGTTGAGCGTATAAGTCAGTGCTGGATGGGATCCAATCCAATAAATCGCTCTCCACACCGTCTGTTCTTGTTGGGTTGGAAATACTGTGTGGGCTCAGAGAGGTGGGTGAGCAGGGACACCAGGTAGACCAACCAGGTGGAGTATTCTTTTCTTTTTCCCTTTTTCACAGCAGTTCTGTTTTTCCCCCACTTGTTTAGCTCTGCCTATATTAAGAATTTATTCTTGTTGTTTCTCCAAAAATTATACCCTGGGGGACATAAAAAAATCAGAGATGAATTATTACACAGTCAAAGTTGAGTTGTCCACACTGCCCCTTAAATAAGGTGCTCTCAACTTATACATTATTTGGTGCAACAGTTTTTTTTTAATATTCATAAGAGCAACAGACAAATCCAGGAGGCCACAGGGTGCAACTGTTCCTGATTCCTGCATTGGAGCACCATAGAGAGAACAAACATCAACAGAAAATTTTACTGAACATTATGACATAATCAATAATCAATGTAAATCTAGAAACTTTTTGAATATGATTAACAGATTGAACAAACAAATTTGTTTCCATTTCTTATCATGTTGACACATTTTGTTGCATTACATTCTCTTTTCTTTCTGGTCTCTCTTATTGCTCGACCCCTCATCCCTCCTATTGGCAACATCACAGATCTCTATGGTTTTAGGGTGAGGGAAGATAAGCTTTGTAAACAGTGGGTACCATGCACTATCCCTCCTATGCTATAATCGGCATCATCCTGCACCTCAACCATGATACACTTAGAGACACTAAGTTGGGAAGACTGTTGACAGCAATTAATTTTTATTCTCCAACCCTAATTTTAATGCTCTTCAAACATGAACATCTACCTTTATCACAAGAATTCACATTACCACAGACACAAACAGTCATTCACGTGTTGATTTCCATTGGATTTCAGTCATTTTCAACAGTTTCTATGCCCTTTCCCTGACAATAATGCTAAACTGAACCATAACCAGGGCATAACGTTAACATACACACAATTCACACCTTAGTCCTAAACCTAACTGTATGTATAAAAAAAGTGAGGATGTCATGGTTTTGGTTATGTTGTGCTTTACTTTGCTCCATGTTTCCTAGTTTTATTGGTTTAATTCTTATTTTGTTGTAGTTTCTAGATTTATGTTAGTTCTCAGGTTTTTCTGTTGTTTTCCTCTGTTGCCCTCGTGTGTGTTCCTTTCCCCTTGGCTCCCTCGTTGTCTCCTCACACCTGCTCCTTGTCAGCTCGTTAGCCCTGCCATTGTCTACATATACTTTCCCTCTGCAGACACTCCTTGTTGTTGCTGGTCCTGTCGTCGCTGTTCTCTGCTCACCTCATCTCTCCCTGGCTCCTTTTGCGTGTTTTCCCCCTGATATCTCCATGGTTCTGGTTTGCTTTACATTTTTAGTTGGATTTTTGAATTCCTGCCTTTGTTAAACTGTTTCTTTTGATTAAATCTGCAAGAACTCACCTCTGCCTCCCTGCCTCTGCATTTGGGTACACAAACGCCAACCAAGATGTGACAGGGGAACAGTAAAATGTCCTCACTCTGGTACAAACAGTGCTCCACGTAATTCAAGGATTTGTTTTGTCACACCACCGCCATCTTATATTTGCACGTTTGTTATAGAAAACTTGGACTCGGGTCACAGTTCAAGAAGCTTAATTTAAGATAAAGAAGAGTAATGGATGATGTTAAATTAAGTGCAGCTTGAGTTCAGCAGCCCAACAATTGCAGGGTAGAAAGGATTTCTGAGCCTGGTGTTCTCACTGTGGATGGTCCTCGGTCGCCTCCCTAAAGGGATTAGGGGAGAGGCTGGAACAGTTTGTGTGTAGGGTTGGGGGAGTCCTTCATGATGCAGAGTGCCCTCCTCCTGCATTCTGATGTGTAGAGGTCCAAGGTGGAGGGGAGGCTGTGCCCCATAGTCTTCTGTGCAGCTTTAACCACCCTCTGCAGAGCCATCCTCAGCTGCCTTGCCACACGGTGAGGCAGATGCAGAGAAAGCTCTCCACCACACAGCAATTCCTCACAGTTCCTCAGGACTTAGCCCCTGAGTCCAGTGCTTCACAGCTTCCTGAGGAATAAATATGTGGATGGGTTTTCCTAGCAACAAGAAGTTAATCTCGATTCCCTGAGGTCAGTCCTGTAATTTGGATACATTCTATGGATCCCCTGTTTTTTAGAGAAAAACATGTCCTGTTACATGCATGAAACCTCATTCTATATGCAGTCTATATGCTAACAGGTTTCTCCGTTTCCTTATTGCTAATACACAATGTTCAGATATGTTTTTGTCAAACTTTTTTCCACTAACTGATTTTCTTCCATTGCAGATTTATTATCTCTTAATGTTTTTTATATCTATCCCATACTGTCCCAATAAAACACATTGACATTTGCTATGCTGATATTAAAAACGACTAAAGAATATGAGTATGTTTTAAGCCACTAAATGTTTTTAGTCCTGAAATTGTATAAATATAGCTCCCTGTCAGCACAAACCTAGGGTCTTATTGGCAGTTGTTTTTTTGTTTTTTGTTTTTAAATAAAGCTGTTACATCAGAGCAAATTTGATTACATTTTTTCTATTTCTAATCTTTCATTTGAAGTCTTGTTCTCTCCACTCAACTGCAGGCAACTGGAGTCATGGAGCTCCAATAACTGACACCATTTTCTTTATAAAGAATAAAGCAACATCGAATATTTAAGCTAACTTTTAATGGAAATGATTAACTAATACAACACAAGGCAATTATTTAAGTTAACATATGAAACATTGAAAATAATCATGAAATATAAACATAAAAGTTATATTTCTGTGTTAGAAGAGATTATTTTGCAGAATACACTAAAGCCACTGCAATAAGGAAAATCAAGAAATGGCCGAAATGTTTTGCAATGATAGAACAGAAGAAAACAAAACAAAACATATATATATATATA